GTCATCCTACAGACCATGTTCTCTGCCCACAATGTCGTTGTTTATAAATCATTAACAAAAACACAAAAAAACTCTTCCTCGCACTTGGAAATTTAAAAACATACCCACGTAAAACTCAGAGCAGAGAAGAAATAGTAACAGCAAATAGAAAACACTGAAACCGAACCATAACAAACATGTTTCAGAGTAAAACTTACGGGATGCAGTGACAGTTATAATTCAACGGAATTCTACTGAAACGTCAGTGTTTGTGTGAGGAAGGAAGAAAGTTGAAAATTCATGACCCAAGCTTCCAGCTTAAGATGGGACAGGGCGCCTGGGTGGCTCAGTCGGTTAAGTGTCTGCCTTCGGCTCAGGGCATGGTCCTGGGGTCTTGGGATCGAGTCCCTCTTCATCATGGGGCTCCCCACTCAGCGGGGAATCTGCTTCTTGCCCCTCCCTCTGCTTGTGTTTTCTCTCTTTCAAATAAATAAAAATTAAAAACTTAAAAAAGATGGGGGAAAGCAGTGGACTATGTACTCACACTTAAAGGGAGAACCAAGATGATAAATAAAACGAGAAGGCATCAGTGGGCTGGGAAACAGAGGTACAGTGAGAGAAACAAGCCAACCGGAAGTTGCTTCTCTGAGAAAGAGGCCACATCGAAGTCCATTCACGCATTAGAATAATCTCTCTCACGGTGAGAACAAACTGACAGCCAGTTAGTGACAGCCAGTTAGCTGGGATAAAAGTCAGACATCATGAGAGAAGAGAAAAAAGTTATAGAAGATGAAATACAGGTAACACCATTTTTTAAAAGATTTTATTTATTTGAGAAAGATCATGAATGGGGCAGGGTGGAGAGGGACAGAGGCAGAGGGAGAAGCAGGATCCCCACTGAGCAAGAAGCCCAATGCAGGACTCGATCCCAAGACCCCGGGATCATGAACTGAGCCGAAGATAGACCCTTAACTGACTGAGCCACCCAGGTGCCCCGGTAATGCCATTTTCAAGCTCAAGAACAAGCAAACCCAAATTATATATTGCTTAAAACACATGTATATTTGGAAAAGCTTTTTGTTTTTTGAGCAAGAGAATGACAAGCACAGCGGTCACCTTGGGGCAGGATAGAGACCCAGGGCATCTGGAAAAGAGCACACAGGGGCTTCAACACCGTGGTAATGTTCTGATCCACAGGTTCTTAGGGAAGTGTACATGGTTTTAAAATTATCATGGTTCATAGTTTGCAAGGATGTTATGTATATATTTTTAGCAGGCATTAAATAGAAATTAATAGTTTTTAGAAATTGTAAGCAAATCCTGCTCAGTAAGAGGTCTCAGATTGACCATTGCTTCTGCACGTTCCCAGCTTGGAACCCGGGGCTGCTTTCCTTAATCTCAGAGCCTGTGGTTTCGCACTGAGCCTGGAGTTGACTCATCTTTCTACCTTTTCAACTCCTGGATTCTACGCACAGAAAGGCCGGTGTTTAGCCTATTCTTAGATGCTTGAACATCTTTAGGTTTGATCTCCTGGGGACCCCTGCTGAGACCACAAGGAAGGCAGAAGAAAGGAAAGAGAAGCCAAGGGGGTCTTCTCTTTAACGTCTTTCCCAGAGCCCCAGCCGTGACCCCTCCATGCTCGGGCTCCAATCTGTACATCTATTTTCACCACTTTGCCTCCCCGGAGAGCCAGAAGGGAGGGGACAGATGCTGAGCCTTCCAAAAGGTGAACTATAGGGGATGTATGTCATCCGAGGCTGTCCTGAACATAGGTCCCTTTTCTAAAGGTTCTTTGATTACCTTTCAGGAATGACCTCTCCTCCACTGAATGCAGTTTTGATGGGCAGACAGATCTGGACGCCTGCCTCCCACCGTGGAATCTGGAGGGGACAGAGCCTTCCAGCTGCGAGCCGATATAGCTGTGACATGGGCCTGGGACCTGTGCTGGGCCAAGTGAGAAAACTCCCCCTGGCTGTCACCTCACGAGGGAGTGAAGGTGGCTCTTCACAGCCACAGGGAAGCCCTTGGCAGCCGCCTGCGGCTCTACTGTGGCTCCTACCCACTGAGTCTGTGGGCCCGTAAGAGCTTTCCAGTACCTGTTTCCTTTCTCTTGAATCAGCCATTCCATTCATTTTCTTAAATTGAAAGAAAAATAGACGTTCACAGCAGATGAACAAAAGAATAACAGAAAGGCAATACACACTGAAGTTGGATTTCTCTCCCCAGGAAATCTACTGTTACCAGTTTGAGGTGTCTCCTTACAAACTTCTTTCTAGCCATATACACAGAAGGAGACGGACTAGATTTCTAGAGAATTTGGGCTTATGGGAAATGGAAGGGATAAATTACCCCAAAAAGGGATCATAGGAAATACATATTTTTAAAATTTTTTAATTTTTTTATAAACATATAATGTATTTTTAGCCCCGGGGGTACAGGTCTGTGAACTGCCAGGTTTACACACTTCACTCACCATAGCACATGAAATATATTCTATAAAGTATTCCTTCCCTCTGTGACCAGTATAAACATCCTTGTCAATACACAGAGAGCGGTGTCCTTCCTTTTAATGGCTGCATAGTATCCCATCAGGTGAGCACAGTTTAATCCTCATCTGTTGCCAGATGTGAACATTGCCTCCAACTTTCTAGTATTACAAATAATGATGCAGTAAATATCCTTATACTTATATAATTTTGCATACCTGTGAAAATATTCCAATAGGTAAGGACTGCATGGAAATAATTTCCAGATCAAAGGACATATGCATTTAAAATTTGGCACTGCCAAATTGCCCTTCTGCAGCTACACCCGCTTCCCCAGTAATGTGGGGAAGTGCTCATCCCCCAAAGTAATGAATAGTTTAATATTTTTTAGCAATTTGAGAGATGGAAATATCTGTTTCTCATATGCATTTCCCTATTGATGAAGACACACATCTTTTTCAAAAATGTATTAGCCAATTTGCTTTTCGATTTTTTCCTTGTTGCTTTATTTCTTCAGGAATTAGAAGTATGAACATTTTATTCATCATATATTGCAATGATTCCCTCCAAATAAGAGATTTGTCTTAACTCTTGGTTTTGGTGTCTTTGGCTGCCTATACATTCTTTCTAATTTCTTCTTTTTTAAGATTTATTTATTTTAGAGAGGGAGAGCAGAGGGAGGGGCAGAGGCAGAGGCAGTCTTACGCAGAGCGCAGAGCCTAGCATAGGGGCTCGATCTCACAACCCTGAGATCATGACCCGAGCTGAAACCAAGAGTCAGACACTCAACCGACTGTGACACCCAGGTGCCCCCACATTCTTTGTAATTGCTCTAAGTATTGTCTTTATGGCTTTTGGGTTCCTGACCACACAAGAAAGTTCTCCGTGTCCCCAAACGGTCCATGAACATCCTGACGTGCATTTTCCTGCAGAGGCAGCCTGGTGTAACAGCTCGTTGTGGCAGGTGAAATCCTGGAGCTGCCCTTCGTAGGTTCAGGGCCCAGCTCTGGCTTTATTAGTTGTGTGACCCCAGTTGTCTCACTCTGCCTTTCCTCCTCCCTAACATGGGGTTGTGGTGGTGGGGATTAAGTGAGTTAATATACGTAAAGCATTCAGAATGCTGCCTGGCGTATCGAAAAACTCCTTCCTTTAGAGGTTGGGTTTTTTTTTTTTGGTTGTTTTTTTTTTTTTTTTTACATTTAGATCTTCCCCTTTTCTTTTGCATGATCTTTTCCTCAGGTGGGTAGCCATTTTTATAAAATCGTGTTTTCCTCTGACTTGAAATGCTACCATTAGAATAGACTGAGGAGCAGGCCGTCCAAGGAGGGCCCTGCGAGGCTCAACCAGCGCGCAGGCCCCCACGATAGCTGCCCCTGAAGGGAGGCTACTCGGTGAGTACTGTGGGGCCTCCTTGGGATCCTGCTAAAGGCAGAGGTTTTGAAGTTGAATTTAGTAATGTTCAGACACTTGGTAGCCTCTCCCCTCTGAGCCCCATCCAAACACAGGCCCGGGAAGGCCACCCCGGTTACCCTAAGCAATTGCCTGCTGGGGGAGGTGTTCGTGGAAAAGCACGCCCAGGCTGAAAAGGTGTTGCCACCAGCCGTGTTCTCCAAAGTCGTCCCCGTAAGAGGAAGTGAAGTGAACTGTCCGGCTGAACTTTACATGAGGAGAACGGAGAGAAAGTGCATCCAAGATGGGATGCATTTAGCTGCGAAGGGTAGCCAGAGCCGGTGGAAAGTTTCTCCCAGGGGAGAGGCTTATCTGCATGAAACGTCCATCGATGGTGGAGGGGCGGGCTGGGAACCGCTGGCGTTTCACTGCAGCGGTTCCACCCCCGCCCCAACCAGACTCCGGCACAAACACACCAGCAGTCTGAGGTGTGCTGCCCTCTTCTGGCAGGACGGGCGCTTGCAGTCAGAGCAAGCAAGGGTAGCAAATAGTGAGGCTGCCCCAGGAGCAGGATCCGGGAACCCCAAACAAATCCCGGGAACCCCAGGATCCGGTAACCGCACACCGTCTGCGGCAGAGCTCTGCGAGCTGCCTGCTGACCTTCCACGGAGACAAGGAGCGACCTCTCCCGAGAGGGGCCTGCTGGCACCCACCAGGCTAGGCCGAGCGGGTGGATCCCAACAGCGGATGAGCCCAGACAGAAAATGCAGCTGGGCCAGTATATAGATTCCATCCCCAGATTCTCTCTGCGACACAGCGGGTAGCCCGGCTCGGCTAGTGCAGGAACTCCCAATGCTGCAAGTCCCTGCTGAAGACAAGCTGGAGAACAGGGTGGGAATCCCAGAAAGGCTCTCAAAAAGACACTGCTATCACCCTCCTGCCCCCCTCCCATCCTCCTACCCCACACTCTCAGAGTGATAATGCCCGGCGCCCAGAGACCCGGAACAGTGTGCGGGGAGGAAGAGGCCCCAGCACCCTCCAAGGCCAGCGGAAAGGCCTCTGACTGCAGAGGTCCCCCGTGGAAACGGGATGAAAGGGGGCGTCCTTCTGACCCAGGGAGGGAAGGGCAACAAAGCCAAAGACAGGTAAATGTCAAATGTTAATGTGACCTTTATTCTACAGCACATGTGGCATCTGTGTATCCCCACGAGGAGACGGGACACTCTATAAAACCAAACCCAACCATCCAAAACGACACTAGATGAAGATTTAACCCAGAGTCATGTCTCTTAAAAAACAATATGGTCTTGTTTGCCATATTACGCCAAGAGACAGCACAGGAAGGGAGAGTGAAGGACTGAGGTTTGTGCCAAGGTAACTTCCTCTTGTTACTGCACTTTTATTCTACACACTTAGTATGTTACACTTTTATTAACACTGTAATAGACATTAGTCCTCTGAAACAAACACAAATATTACATAAGAATAAAAGACAACAAGCTGTCCAGACCGATTTCCTTCCCAACCCTCTGAGTCGGGTGGCCTCCCCCCACGCCAGGTCTTCACATAGTCTCCGCGGGCATCTCAACTGGACTGGATGTTAACAAAGCAGATGAAGTTAAAAATAAAACCCTTTTAAGAACAGTAGTGCTCCTCGCAACCCCCAAAGGAGTTTGCAGTACAAGTTTCTGAAGGTTACCCCCTCCTCACCCACTTTTACACAGCACTAGCCCTAACTGTTCCCCCCATATTTAGAAGGGTAAATCCACTTTTTTTTTTCTTTTAAAGAAAAAGTGGGTTATTTGATCCAGCAAATCCAGAAGTCAAACTTTGAAAACTCAAAGAAAGCAACTACTCTTTTGGCGAGGGACTCGAGGGCCCTTTATCCACTCCGAAGCTGTATGGACTTTGGGATTCCCTGATTAGCCAGATGGAACACCAAGCATGCCTTCTCTCCAAAGCAAGGCCACAGGGGACCTCTGCCCTCCAAGTGCTACCGTCATCACCAACCCCTCTTGGCTTTTCAGTGCTAAATAATAAGCCAAAAAAAATAAAGTGTCGTTCAGTGCAGTTATCACTCTGGAGCCTGCCACCCGAAACCCCTTCTCTCGTTAGGAAACAACTTCCAACCCCCACTTTGGCAGCTCAGCAAAGACGCGTCAGAATGCACTGGAGAGCTGACAGGTGCTGGGGGCGGGTTCTACCGTTCCCCTATTTCCATCCGTGCCAGTAATATGTCCTTTCCCTCATTGTTTCCTTGAGTTTTAGTGTTAAAAATTAGGAGAAGCTGCTTCCTAGGCTCTGTCCCCTTGAAATGGGAGTCACAAGTGATTCTCTTTGGTCTGGGAAAAACCAGCACAGCCCTCCTTCCTAGAGGAGGAGAAGGCTTGCTAATCAACGAGCCACTCTCTACAGAGGATCAAGGAACTAGGTCACACCTGTGGAAACCTCAGCCAAACAAGCATTCCCCAACTCTTGCCAGACTGACCTCGCTCGCCAGGCACGGTGTCGGCCGCGCGGGGGCCCCAGGCTCTGCCACGTCTTGATTGCTCTGCAAGAAGGTCCCTCACTCAGTTCTGAAACGACGTAAGTGACCGGACTTCAAGCATGCTGAAAAAGGCCAGGTGATCATTTTCGGGCCGGGGTAAATCGCCCTAGCGAAGTCGATTAGAACAGAACACAGTGAGGGTGATCCGTCCCACCCTTCCCCTGCCCCCCGCCACCATCTCACCTCACCCCTTGGGAGCACATGCAACCAAGGCTGGGGGGTAAAATCTTGAGGACTTTGGTCTTCTTGAGCCCGCTACAGCCCAAGTGCCCCCAGACTCCTTTGAATACCTAGTGTCTTCCCAAGAACACACAGTGCAGTACATTTCATGGCGTTCCGCACTTTAACAATAATGGGCGCTGAGGGACAAAGAATCCCCAATCAGCGGACGTTATAAAACAAAAGCAAAGTGTACGTGTGTTATATGTCTGTATTCCCGCACTCAGCCCGCTGAGTGTTCAAATAACAACCTCCTGATATCTCTATGTGGACTTTGGCCTGGAGAGCTTCAGGAATATCTTGCATCTTTTCTCAAAATACTTTTTTTTGTATTGAATTGTTAACACAGTTACTGTCTTACTTAGCATTGGTCCCTCCCGTCCTCCCTCCTCACTCAGGCAAAAAAAATGTGGGAATCTGCTAGGAGACCAGTGTCTGAGAGCAGACTAGGCTGCAGGGAGGGGACAAACTGAAAAGGGACACTGGGTAGAAGAAGCCCCCCCACCCCCCCACCTGCCCCCCGGCACCTGCCCCTGCATGAATGGGGAGTAGGAACTAAGACTTTGGAAGAATGTTAGGAATGTGGCTTCCCCAACGGAAGCACAGACTCCTGATGGGAGCTGCAGTAAAGGAGGGCTCTGGGAAAGGGAACTAGAAAAGACCTTTCCTGAAATGTCATACAAAACACCTAGACTGCTCTTTCGGCAGGGAGACGCTACGCACCTCTCCTTCTTAAACTTGAAAATCTGGCCTCCTGGAAGCCCCATCATCATCCCCAGGAGGACAAACGAGTTAATGCGGACAAGAACAGAGTGACTTGAAGAAGTAAAGCTATAAATGGGTGTTATTCCAACATTCCACCAGAACAAGGCTCGAGCCACGGACCCCAAAGACAGAGGGTCGGCCCTTCGCCGTTGCGGGTAAAAAAGTTCTTAGCACTGTACGGAGTTTCTGACGCACCCCAAGTGCCTGGAGCTTCCTACGCTCAAGGGCATCATACTCAGAGCCCAGCAGAGCCAAAGAGTGAAAACTGAACTTGAAGAGTTATAGGAACACTTTCTGGTAGACCCCATTTATACTCTGTTAATGTTTAAGAGATGGCCATTCTCTCAGAAACGACCCAACAGGCTTCTAGCAGCAAATCTGCCTGTTTCCTTACACACCTACTCAGGGACCCGGTTCACAGCCTTGGGCGCCAGGCACAGGGGAGAGAGCGCCATGCCCAGAGATCAGGCAGATGGACGGAGGTTCCTCACCTCCCTCCGCTGTCTTCTTTCACCCACCTGGTGTTCTAAATCGAATGGACCATCTCGGTGGAGCGAAGCTTTAAGTCAAGGTCTGAGATGCATCAACGTGTAAATCGCTCCAATTCAGAATTTCTCTTCTTAGGCACACTTCCCGACACACGCTCCGAAAGCCCACCAGCACTCGCGTCCCAGCCGTGAGCACACGGGGGCAAGGGGCACACACAGCTACAAAAAGCGTTCTCTTTCATCTGGTGCTTTCCCTCTTACGTTATAGTCAAAGTAAAAAGAAGGGACAAGTTTGCAAAAGAAATCTCGGTTAAAATGCTCGTGGAGGAGTTTAAAAACATGAGTGTGCTAGATTCAAACACAAAAATGGGAATTTTTGATTCTCCTGGTATCCTTCCAATGGGCTTGCAGGGAAACCCACAGCCTCCAGATCACTACCCACGTCTCGGGTCTCCCCAAGTTACTCCCCACCTGTCAGTTTTGCTCAGACACTCATTCCCAGATACCAAGTTCACTGGAGTTTTCCCCATCTTGAGACCAAAAAGAGGGAGGAAAAAAGATCAAAGGGAAGAAGAAAAGATTCTGTCCTGGGATTAGCAGTAACTCAAAATCCAATCACATATGTATATATATGTGTATATATACATATGTGTGCCCAACATTTTTTTTTTCTGTGGCCTCTTGGTGATGTGACCATGACACCCACCCCCAAAGTCAGGGCTATTCAGTCCTATAAATGCAAACAGGCCGGCACTGTAAGGAACAGACAGCTCTGTTTCTAGCTCCCTCGTGGAGGCCTCTGGCTGTGGCAACCCGAGATCTGGTTGCAGGGAGCCAGAAGTTACTGTTTGGCTCCTATGTTCTCACAATCCCAGAAGGAAGTTCAAATTTTCTAAGGGTCCTGATGACTGGACAGAACCCAACTATTCCTAGCCAGAGCCAAAATTACGAAAATTATAGCTTTGAATCCTATTGCCACTGCAGTGCCCTGCCTGTCTTAGCAACACACAGTGAACAGACACTTGGTACATTTGCCTCCTTTTCAATTCCGAGGCTGGAACGTTGTATTCTTCGGTGTTTACGTGTCCCAGGCAGTCTTCTGCCGACAGCATGGCTTGGGGCTCAGCGAGCTGCTGCACGTGCCCCAGCACACAGCCAACTGTTCACGGTCCGGGAGGCCTCTCTGCTGCCCAGCAAGCATCAGTTCTCTCGGGAGCTCTCTGAATAAATGTCACATTCTTCCCATGGCCGAAAGGTGAGGGGAAGGAAAGAAATAGAGAGTAGAGGAGAAAGGTCTTTGCTTTCAAGTAGAATCGTCGAGTCCCCTGCTTGGCCGCTCAGAGCTCGACTTGCACAGCCGGTCCATGATACCCTGCAGCATGGGCTCGACGATGCCCAAGAGAGGCCTCTGAGAGGGGTCCCCATCCCAGCAGGCCTCCATCAGCTGCCAGCACTCCTCGTCAAACACGGGCAGGCGCTCTGGTCGGGCCCCTGGGGAAAGGCACATGGAAACAAGGCCACGGTCAGTGAGAAGGCCCGTGCCATGATGAGGCCCAACCAGCTCGCGGACCGATCGCCCAGGCGGGGCTCAGGAGCTCTGGCTTCAGAACCCAGCAGTAACACTGACAACAAACTGGAATGCACTGGCATAGGAAGCTGAAGAACTGGGAACGTTCCAGAAAAAAGCCTTCTGGAAACAGTTCAGTACCACACTGCCTGAAAGCCAAGGCCTGACTTCAGTGTCTCTCCTGGATTCCGTGATGGTCTGAGGTCCCACTGCTCTCAGTGGTGGTCAGCGGTGGGCGGGGGGGCTTGGTGGTGGTCAGAACAAAGTAGGGCTTGTGGCGCTTACCTCTCCGCACATTGTTCCAGAGATGGTCTTTGCTGGCACACCTCTCAAATGCTTCAGGGAGCTTGACAGAGCCCGAGCAGATATACCAGAAGAGAATGCCAAAGGCATAGACATCGACAGAGTTATCGTACTTCCCTACAACGAAAAGGGGCGACAGCCATGAGCCCGGGACAGAGAGCAGCTGCATCCCTGCTCATGGGGTCTGCACAGGTCTCCATGACTTTTTTTCTAAACCTTTTAACATCCACTGCCTCCCCTAACAACCCTGGTAGGCGGGACACCGATCTTTTTATACCCAAAACCACAGTCCTGGGAAGGCAGATACCAGGAGGGCTGAGACTAGAGCCTGACAAAGAAGGAGGACAGGCCTTTGATTTTGATGGAACAGCCAAGAAGATTCAGCTTAAAAGGTCGGATTAGGGAAGGAAGGCTGGGAACCATGTGAGTGGGTAGACTGACACCAGAGTGTAACGGTCTTTAAAAGTCAGACAGAAAAGTCTGGATTCAATGGACAGCAGGAAGTCCTTTATGTTTTAGGGCAGCAGGTGACAGGAAGAACGTATTTTAGAGTCTTCTGTCAGCAACAGGACTCAGAGAAACAATCCAGGTAAATGAAATATGAAGGAGCCAAAAAAAATGAAAGCAGTGCAAACAGAACTTCTTTGGGAAGTAAATCTAGAGAAAGAAAAATGATGGGCATGTGCTTGGCTCTGCTGTGGGTCCAGCTGACGCTGACCCTGACCCTGACGAGCCCAACTCCGTGAAGCCCACGGGCAGACCCGTGCGTGGGGCTAACGAGAGAGGTGCAGATCGCCGGTTCGAACCCACGCGGATGAGGGGCCTGCCGTGACCTTCACATCTGCCTCGACAATGCCACAACCATCTCCCGTCCCCCAGGCCCGAGCCCTCAGCCTCGTCCAGTCCTCCTCTGCGGCTGATCCCCCAGTCTTGCCCGCTGCTCTCCTGAGCGGCCCTGGCACCAGGCGCACTTGTTTGGTTTCCGCACCCGGAGCAGCCTCCTCCTGGACACCAGCCCCACAGCTCTGCCTGCCTTCGCTCTGGCCCCTTGAACCCCCTCCACCTCCTGCTGCTAAGCTAGCCTTCTGCAATCGCATTTTCACTCACACCTGTGCACAAGCTCAAGTACCTCACTGCCCCACACCGAGCCTTCACTCCTCTGCACATTCAAGCTCCCAGCATTTCATCTCCAGCCTCGTCTGCTGTCACTCCCCATGCAGATCTCTTCCTGTTACACTTCTTTCTGTTTTGCAATTTTCCTATTTCCCTTTCCCCAGCCTCCAGAATGTTCTCTCCTTCGTAACATAGGATGAGATTCTAGAGCCAGAAAAATCTAGATTCCAATCCCAGCTCCATCACCTCTAGCTCAGTGTTTTGGGGGTGGCTTTCTGAGCTCACCCATCTGGACTCGACGTCACCTGTGACATGAGCACAAAATGCATCACCGTCACCACAGAAACGGCGCGAGCGAGGGTTAAATGGAACAAAATATATGAAAAAGGATACCCGTGCTGCCCAGCCCAAAGAACATACTTCCCATAAGTTCCCTCCCCACAGACTGATTCTTCCAGACCTGACTCAAGCTCTAGGCGACATCTCACTTCTATCTCAAAACTGTCAAACATTTCCACCTTCCTTCGTCGCTTGTCTGAGAGCCAACGTCACGTCAGGGGGCACCCGTTCTAGGGCTCACCGCATGCTGTCCTCTGCTGCTTCCTAACAGTCTTACCTCTCCACATACATCTGTGTCATCTGCAAGTTCCTCAATGATCAGGGCCAACTCCTGACGTACCGGTCACTCAGTCAGTACCTTAGGGTCAACCGATTGGCTGATTACGGCAATTATGGCACAAAGAGCCAGAGAAACAGCCACCAGGAGACCTGGTACCTCCTGTGTGCGTTCTTCCTTCTTCCCGCTCTAACTCTTCCCTTCTCCCCCTCCCTGCCTCCGGTCTCCCTCCCCTCCTTCTCCTTTGCCGGCAGCAGACCTGCCAGGAGTGCTTGTGGATACTACTGAGCCCAGGGGGTAACCGTCAGGGTTACAGCTCAGAGCCCGGCTGAAGCCCACCCGGCCCGCAGCTTACCTGTGAAAAGTTCAGGGGCCATATGGATCGGTGTCCCCACAATGCTGCCCGACATCATGGCCTCCGGCTTGCAGAATCCTAAGTCGGTGATCTTGGCACGGTTCTGTTTGTCCAGCTGCCAACGAAGCAGGGCGAGAGTCAGCCTGCGCACACATGCTCAGAAGCAGGTGTCCACCTCCAAGCAGCACTTAGCCAAGCACCCTGTCTCCAGATTCATTCCCACTCCTGTCTTCACCCCAGACTGTCAGCAACCTGATGGCAGGGGCTGTCTTTTTCATCTGTGTGTACCTTGCCCATCTCAGAAGCTCAGTAAGTCTTGGAAGAATGAATAAGTGAAAGACACCGAAGAAAGTATTTCAGTTCCTGATGATTCTCCTCTGACCTCCAGACCCCAGGGCAGAAAGTCACTAAGGAAGAAGGCCGAGGTCCTCTGGTCAGCTGAGGAGAGTTGCATGAATTCCCCACAGTTTCCTTTCCTAAAGATCCAAGGGGATAAAGCTGTGCCCCAGTTGACTACTGGTAGGCCTCTCTGGTTTCAGCCCATGATTTTAGGGCAATCTCTCCCATTCCCCGCACTGCTGTCATCGTTCTGTATCATTAAGTGTTGCCGGATATCCTGACAATATCCAATACGGTTTCAAGAGGAACAGGTCAGAAGACTCTTCCGAACTGAGATACCAGACCTGGTGGGCTCGTGACCACCTTCCCCTTGATGGTGCATTTACCCAGCTCAGCCCTCAGCCAGCAACTCCGACCAAACCCTAAACAACCACCAGACCTGGAATCCTCAAACACAGCAACATCACAAAAGGACGATTCCAGATTAAAGGAGGACAGGAGAACAGGACAACAAAGTGCCCCGTCTGATCCCTGGAGTGAGCCCGGGATCAAACAAGCTAATGCACTGTGTCTGAGCAACTGGGAAGTATTATTATAAACTGCTCATTAACTAACAGTGCTGTATTGATGTCAATTTCTTTGGTGTGATAATGGCATTTTAAATACACAGAAAAATGTCCTTTCTAGGAGATAGAAGCTCAAGTATTGAGGAGTCCTATGCTATTGGCAACTTACTTCCTACAGTAAAAAAGTACGTGTATGTGTGGGAGAGAGAGTGAACAACAGAGAGAGACGAACCCGGAGAAAGACAGCATGAGTCGGGATGAATGATTTGCAGGTCTCCTTCTGACCACTCTGTTCTGTATGCTCACACGTGCCCAACAGGACTGGGAGGAAAAACTTTAAGAAAGAGAAGCTCAGTCTAGGAGGCAGCCTGGCACTCCCCAAGCCTTGCGTCCAGGCTGCCATCGACCCATCCACTGTCAACTCCACGGCGATCCTGGCAGGCGTGTCCCGCGATCCCGCTCACATGGAGGCAGACCCCACAAAGGCCGCTCAAGCCACAGAGACAGGGCACTATCTTGGGGAAACAGCTCTACTTACCAGGACGTTTTTGAGCTTGATATCACGGTGCACGAGCCCCTGGCTGTGCAGGAAGCGGACCCCTTCCACCACATCGAGCGCTATCTGCAGACGCGTCTCCAGCGTCAGCCCAGCCTTGGGGAGACAAAAGAGTTCACTCGTCACTAACAAGAAAACTCCTCTGTCCAGCTCCGTCCCGCATGCTTAAACCCACTAAGAGCTCCTTCTGCGGGCCACTGCAAGGCAGCTTGCACCGGGGCACACCAAGGACAAGGACAGAGAAGCAGGCAGGAAGAAGAGAAGAGGAAAGCAGTTAGGGCAAGGAAGCCAAGGGAAAGCAAGAAAGGACAAGATGTGAGGCCAGCTAACATCCCCCAGAGGCGGCACGCAGGTGGCCAGATGACCCCACAGGGGTCAAGAGGTGCAGGCCACAACTGGAGGCCTGAGCTCATTTCCAAGGCCCAAACAGACTCTGGGACTGCCCTTGAGTCTCAAAGGAGTTCCCGGATGCCTGACTGGCTCAGGCAGCAGAACATGTGACTCTTGATCTCAAGGTTGTGAGTTCAAGCCCCATGTTGGGTGTACAGATTATTTTTAAAAAGTTAAAAATTTTAAAAAGTAAAAATATTGAAAAGAAAAAAAAGGATTTCTAGGCCTCTCGGGCAGAATGCCTTCTACTGCACTGTAGGCCTGCTTAGCCCAGGTTTGGCTTCACAGATTCAAATATCAAAGTCACTTTTACCATGCCTCCAACTTAGGGCCTCTTGAATTCCAGAGAACGTTACATCACCCATCCAAGCTCAGCCTCTTCCTTCCACCTGCCCAAACTGTACCCATCAAGGTGGATTTATCATACTCAAACACCAAGTCTTCACGAAATATTCACCGACTGTAAGTGTCTTAAAAGCTTCTGGCAATTACACCTTCTATGCCCAACATGGGGCTTGAACTCATGACCGTGAGACCAAGAGTCACATGCTCTCCTGACTGAGCCAACCAGGTGCCCCGGCAATTATACTTCTTGATATGCCCTTATGGTGCTTAGCACGAGATCTCGCACAAAGTAGTCACGAAAAAGTATTTGTTGACTCAACAACAAACACTAGTTGTATCCATCGAGAGCAAAAAAAGAGGAGGAATGGCAAAGTTATGAGATGCTTTTCTGCGCTTCTGAGTCGTCTAGATTTTTACCCCTACCACAAGCGGCAAACAGCGGTGCACTGGCAGTATTCTGGATATAAACTAGGCCAAAAAATCGATTCTGAGAAACTTTTAAGGTTTTTTGGAAACAAGGGCAATAAAACTTGATTATTTCCAAAAAACGTCTTGTGAAAGCTAGAAGGTCTGGATAAACAAGAAAGGAAGACCAGCCAGGGAGGACCCCTCGGATCTGGCTGCTGGCCGCAGTTCAGCCCCACGCCCCGCCTCAACCCCCACCCCAGCCCTGCCTCACCTTCAGCCCCGTGTAGAGGTCCCGGTGCAGCCGCTCCATGATGAGCAGCACGGCGATGCTGGAGCCCCCGCCGTAGCTGTAGTCGATGACCGAGCCGTGCAGATCCACCAAGCGCTCGTGCTTCGGCAGAGACCTGGTGGGAATGACAGAGTCTAGGGCTGCCACGCTCCAGCTCTGACCTTGTACAGTGTGCCGTCACGTGGCCAGGAGTCCCCTTGAGACCACACGTAGTCCAGGGCCAGAGCTCATGGCCCTCGGTGCAGAGGGAAGGTCAAGAGAATGGCCTCCTAACAAGGGATTAGAATTATGGAATCTAAAGACTAACAGGACTTAAGGACTGAGAAGCTAAAGGGAAGGCCAAGTCTGAGAAACTGATACGGTGGGGAGAGGGCAGAGGCCATGAAGGCCTGCAAGAGAGCACATTTCTGAGCCCGACACTAAGACACTGGCTATGACGTCTGGGGACCCGGGAATAGAGAGACATAGTGTGCTATAAGTCTCAGCACAAACTTCGTCCCAGGCTTCTGGCTTACTCCCTAGGTCTTCTCCCACAGAGACAAGTGACAGGAGAACCTACCTCATGTAGTGAAACTCCAAAGCCAGGTCATTCCAGTGCTTCTCGTCCGGAGGGACGACCGACTTGAGGGCACAAGGGAAGTGCCCTCCCCAGTTGTCACACAGGTACACCACACCATATTGGCCCCGGCCCAGCTCCTGTCCCAGTTTAGGTTTACCTATTAAGTAAGGAGACAGAGATAAGGCAGGAGGAAGGAGAGCTTGCTGGGCAACCTCCGTAAGATCGTAAGATCGTTAGACGTGCTGGGTCAGTGGAGCATGTGACTCTTGAGCTCAGGGTTGTGGGTTCAAGCCCCACACTGGGTATACAGAGTACTTAAAAGTAAAATCTGTGAGACTGCTTATGAAAAAAATATATAAAATATCCTGATTAAAAAAAAAAGATTCTTAGGGAGCCTGGGTGGCTCAGTCAGTTAAGCATCTGCTTTCAGATCAGATCACGATCTTGGGGTCCTGGGATGGAGCCCTACATCGGGCTCCCTGCTTAGCTGGGAGTCTGCTTCTCCCTTGGCCCCCATGCCCTGCTTGTGCTCACTCACTCTCTCTCTCAAATAAATAAACCCCTTTTTTTTTTTTTAAAGATTTTATTTGACAGAGAGAGAGAGATCACAAGTAGGCAGAGGTAGACAGAGAGAGAGCAGGAAGCAGGCTCCCTGCTGAGCAGCAAGCCCCATGTGAGGCTCGATCCCAGGACCCTGAGATCATGACTTGAGCCAAAGGCAGAGGCTTAATCCACTGAGCCACCCAGGCGCCCCTAAATAAAACCTTTTAAAAAAAGAATCTTAGACATGGACCTAGGAGTAAGAAGTTGTAATTATGCTGGGGGAGAAATTCTGATGCTACTGGAAACTAGTAGAAAGTAACCTAACTGGTCTGATTTTTAAAGATTTTGTTTATTTGACAGACAGAGATCACAAGTAGGCAGAGAGGCAGGCAGAGAGAGAGGGGGAAGCAGGCTCCCTGCTGAGCTGAGAGCCCGATGCGGGGCTCGATCCCAGGACCCTGGGATCATGACCTAAGCCGAAGGCAGAAGCCCAACCCAATGAGACACCCAGGAGCTCCTAACTGGTCAGATTTAAATAAACTTCAGTCATGTTGTCTAAACTGTATGACCAGCAGGACCAAACAGACTTCAGGAATTCAAAAATACGTCACAGGGTGCTGAGGCGGCCTTGCAAGGAAGCAGCCTTAGATACGGGGACTCTCCGAGATAGAACATGAGAATGTCACACAACCAGAACCTTCTTCCCATTTACTTTCCTACAAGGGAAAAAAACAAGGACTCACGATGCAGCAAGACGTCCTGTAAAGAACGGCTTTCCAGAGAAAGGCGGGCCAGGCGTGGGGCGTGATCCTTCCGAACTTTCAACCACAGATCTTCTGTTTTTTCCAACCGGCCTGAGTGGCCAGCTTCTAGCTGGGAGGGAAGCAGAAAAAAGTCATGTGACTTGTCAAGTCCCCAGCTTGGTTTCCTCACCTGCTATATGGGGTAATAACAGCTTCTCCTAAAGGGCAACTGTAAGTTACACAAGACGTCTGTAATGTGACTGGTACACAGTGGGCTCTCAGTAGGTAATACCTGTTCCTCCTGGCTGCGTACCCTCATCTCCACAACGCCCCCCACATACAGACGTGCACACACACATACATACATGCACACACATACACATGTACACAAGAGCACACACATCCACTCCAAGGGGACAAGCAGATGTCACATAACTGTGAACCAGCATAAAAGTTACAAAGTCCTCCTTTCTCTGACTCATTCCTAAAATACTAGGCAACTTACATAAAATTCCTACCCCTTGGGGCACCCGGGTGGCTCAGTGGGTTAAAGCCTCTGCCTTCGGCTCGGGTCATGATCCCAGGGTCCTGGGATCGAGCCCCACATCGGGCTCTCTGCTCAGCAGGGAGCCTGCCTCCCCCTCTCTCTGCTGCCTCTCTGCCTACTTGTATTTCTGTCTGTCAAATAAATAAGTAAAATCTTTAAAAAAATTCCTACCCCTTAATTTTCATTCCTCACTCAGTGAAATGAGGAGAAATGAACCAAGTTCCCTCCACGTTCCCTGGAGTTAGAAAAACCTCCACATGAAAAACATACTGATGACACTTTCCATGACTAATATTACCGTTTCACGGCTAGGAAGAAAATACACTGATGATTCTATAAAAATTCCATGGAGAGCAGTGGGCAAAATACCCCCCAACGGTAGGTTCTTCTCCCTCTTCCCGCACGCCCACCTGCCGCAAAGAGGCTGCAAAAGCCTCGTGAGAACTGTTGAGCCGGGTCCGGAACTGGCTGCAGATGCTCTTGGCCAGCTTGGAGGCGCTGAGGCTCTCGATGGCTTCCTGGGCCACCTTCCTCTTCCACTCCAGCGTGATGGCAGGCGGGCTCACCCACGTGAGGCGCTGGATGATCTGCAGGACGAGGTCAGTGAGAAGAGGGAGACCGGTCTCAAGGGAGACCGCAGCCGCCAGAAAGAACCCACACCCCTCCCCTGGGGGTCAGCCAGCCTAGGAGCAGGCGATGAAGAAAGGAGCCCTGTGAAGGCCAAGACTCCTCTCCAGTCCCACCGACCCGATAGTCAGGGCTCAGAGCAAGGGAAAGCATCAAAGAACACCAGGCCGAGTCCACATGCTCATAGGCCCTCACGGTATCCAGGCAGCGCCCGGGGTGCTGAGAACTCCCTTTCTGAACTCCGGATGGAGAAAGAGCACCATCGAATCCCGGAAAAGAAACCACACAAATGGCCCCTGGCAACCAAGCCTGGTTCTGAGAAAACACTTAGGCTCGGAGAAAGGAGTATGAGGAAGTGAGTGAAGGAGAGCTTTACGGCTGCATAAAATTTCATTTACATGCGCCACTTTAAGCGTTCAAGGGGCACTGTTCCTAGTTATTTCAGAATAGGCATAAACCAGAACTCTCCCGGGCAGACAAACCCGGAAAAATGGCCGCCCTACCCCAGGAGAACTTTCTAGACATCAGTCGCTATTGGAGGGACTAAGGTTCATCTGAGCCAACGGGGGCGGGAAACGCTCCTCCAGAGGACTCCACCTGTTTGATTTGCTCCCACAGCATCCTTGTGACCGACGACCCGGAGTGAAATGTAACTTCAACGTGATAGGCGGCATTTAAGATCTGAAAGAGAGCCACGAAGGAAATCCGTACGCCTGAGCACAGTGGCTGATTAAAAAAAACGTGATAAATACTATTTACTTAAAGCACAGAGTCCCGTTTCAAGGTTCCCAAATATGTCCTTCCATAAACGTGCAGGCCACATGGGTCGATCACCTATTTTGCGACTCTCTGGGCCCCTTACTTCCATCTTCACCAACCAGCTCATGCCTGAACTGCGATTTTGCTGTGCGCAAGCACCTCTGACGGGCAGGGGTCATGCGAGGGGAAAACAGGGTAAGATTCAAACTGGATGGGCCAGAGGGTGCCCGGGATGTTCTTGGCTAGCTCGAGGCTGGGCTTGTGGGCGGGCTCTGTCTCCTGTGCCCTCTGTGATGTGGTGGCTACCTGGTCTTCGAGTACCTGTTTGAGATAATTACTGGTGATGTGAACCGAGACATCCTGGGACTTCTCCAGGCTCTGCAGACAGCGTTCCAGTGTCCCGACGAAGCTCTCGCGCAGGTAGTCCACCGAGCTGATCAGCTTGTTGGCCACCGCCTGATTGAGCCGGGAGATGATGAGCTCCTGGATCTGCCGGATACAGCATTTGATTTCTCGGGTGCCCACCGCCTCTCCGTTCTCCGGGACGATGACATCTACGGAGGCAGACACACAAGCCAGCTGGCCGTGAGGGAAAGGGGCAGGCACTCAGAAGAAAGGCCTCTCCTCATCAAAGCCAAGGAGCCACCACGATAGCCACGAAGGCTCTCAAACACATGGCTGGCGGACGAGCTCTGACCCTCAGTGTGACACGGGGCCACGGGATCCATGACTACTGAGGGCATTCCTGAGAAGGAGCAACTGCATCTAGAATGAGCCTACTGATTCTGTCGGCTTTCTGTCACATTTATAGGACAGGAGGAGTATTTATTGAGTGCAGACTATTTGAAAGGCACCAGAATAAGTATTTTACATACGCAATCGAATTTAATCCTCATGATAACTTTGTCAGGTGGGTATTACTGGTCATTTTATAGGTCAGGAAACAGCCTCGAAGAGAGGACAGAAGGGAAGGGGACAGTACAGGAAGGACAACAGCTCGCGTCCGAAACCCAAGCTCGCAGATTGTCTTGGATCTTTGTACCATTTCACACTGTGGAACTCCCAATAAGATCCAGCAGTTGGGGATTCGATGCTAATCAATTACTGAATAAAAAGCAAAACTGGAACATTGTCGCCAGCTTGCTACTACCTCCCAGAATTAGAAATCTGTTCTGCGAGTCAGAGGACAGAATTGAAGAAAAGACAAATTACCCGCAAAAACTCCACTCCTAAAAAGGCACTCTCATGTCTACTGTGGGAATTAAAATTGGTGTCGCCTCTTTGGAGGAAATTTTATATATATCAAAAAAATTTTTTTCTAACCTATCGAAATTTTAAACTAACCAACCAACCAACAAAAATATCTACATACCCTTTGACCTACCTATGAAGACAAATCCATATGTACCTTTATAGAAAGGTCTCTAAGATATGAATTCAGTGCAAAAGCAAGGGGCAGAAGAACGTATGGAGGAAAACTGGGCGGCCGGAGGACAGTATATTTGTATCTCTGAGTAAAGTACTATGCAGTAGGTATTATCTTTAAAAAAAAGTATTTTCTGAAGTGTGTATGTTATATAGCCTGCATGCATACATTACCTCTATTTTGCTATTTCTTAAGGTTTTATTTATTCGACAGAGAGACCGAGCATACAAGCAGGGGGAGGGGCAGAGGGAGAGGGACAAGGAGACACCCCGCCAAGCAGGGAGCTTGCCATGGGGCCCAATCCCAAGACCCCGAGGTCATGACCTGAGCCGAAGTCAGACACCTAACTGACTAAACCACCCAGATGCCCCACATTACCTTTATTTTAAAACATAAACCAGGACCAGAAATTGGGCTCCTGAGGCTATGTGGTGGCTCTCTTCTAAATCTACCCATCATTGCCTCAAGGATCCCCAGGAAGAGCTTCGAACGAGGTTAAGAAGCAGACATGTAAGTCCTGTCTAACACACAGCTAACTCGGAAAGTGGCTTCCCAAATCGGCCAGGTGGTTAACAGAACCGGACGGCTGGTCTACTTGTCCCCAGCTCCCCTGTGTCTGTTGAACTGACCACTGCATCCCAGACACCACACACGGTATCCCCGGCACATGACCAATAGGAAAACATTTCCCGGTCTGCCCAACTGTTTTGCCCCGCGCGCTACGGTACTAGCGCTGATGCCCGGCGTCCTCAGTCAGAAGCCTTCCGAGATCTCCACTGCAAGTCCTGAACCACCTTTGCTCATCTTCAGAAACACCTATGAGAAGGCTTCCTGGGCTTGCTAAAGTGGCCTGTCTCCTCTGTGTGACAGCCATACTCCATAGTTCACACACTCACTCAAACTCCCAGGAGGTAGTGCACGCACACAACTCCCTGTGAACTGCTGTAAGAGATAGGATTTAAACAAGGCGCCGTTCTCCTGCATCTCTAGGACTGGAGAAAACAGTCAGTAGGACATAAATAACTGTAATAAAAGAAAATGAAATACACCAGAAATTTCAGGTATGCATGAAATGCGATGAGAGTTCAGACGGATGTGATCACTATTAGCTAAGAAAATTAAAGACTGGGGCGCCTGGGTGGCTCAATGGGTTAAAGCCTCTGCCTTCGGCTCAGGTCATGATCCTGGGGTCCTGGGATCAAGCCCTGCATCGGGCCCTCTGCTCAGCAGGGAGCCTGCTTCCCTCACTCTCTTTGCCTGCCTCTCTGCCTGCTTGTGATCTCTGCCTATCAAATAAATAAATAAAGTCTTCAAAAAGAAAGAAAAGAAAAGGCTTCATGAAAAATGCTATTTAGAAGAGACTCTGAAGGGTAGATAGGATTTGGAAATTTACAAATAGAAGACTTTTTGGGTTTAGGGCAGGGTGGGGGTCATGGAAAAGTAAAGGAAGGGCTGGAGGACAGCAAGCGGCTGAGAGCAGGTGAAATGTGGGAAACAGGCCTGGGAAAGTCCGCCAGGGCTGGGCTCTGCAAGATCCTTAACACCAGGCTGACGAGTCAGAACTTAGTCCGCAGAACAGGGAGCCAACACAGCTGAACTGGAGAAAGGAGAGAAATGTCCCGGAGAGCAACAGGAAACAGTAGTTCAGGTGGACTGCAGAAGAGGGAACAGAAAAGCTAAGGCAGGGGCACCTGGGTGGCTCAGTGGGTTAAAGCCTCTGCCTTCAGCTCAGGTCATGATCCCAGGGTCCTGGGACTGAGCCCCGCATCGGGCTCTCTGCTCAGCGGGGAGCCTGCTTCCCTTCCTCTCTCTCTGCCTACTTGTGATCTCTGTCTGTCAAATAAATAAATAAAATCTTAAAAAAAAAAAAAAAAAGATGCCAATACACAGAATCCACAGAGGGACTGGAAAAAAAAAATAATAAAACCTGATGCGAGGTCCCACGTCAGAAATTCTGATTAACCAGTCTGGAGTGCTCGGGGGCGATCTCAAACATCTCTATTTTCAAAAAGCCCCCAGGAGATTTGGCTGTACCGCCGTGATTGAGAACCTCCAGGGTAACCTGCACACCACATCACTGTAATTCATGGGTGGGAGGGCTAATGTGCCCGCAGGGCAGGTTACTGAGCAGTCAGAACACAAAGTCAGCCGCACCAAAAACCTCAGCCCAAAAGGCCTGATGAATCACGTTGGGCCAATTTTGTTATTAGCCATTCAGGAAGAAGGGACTTCCAGAAAAGCTGAAAACACGACCTTGCGAGAAACACTCCCGAGCTGGGTTTCAGGAGCAGCCTGGAAAGAAAATGAGACCACAACACACACCAGAAAGAACCAGTAAGGAAGCACAGGCCATGCCGAAGGTCAAAGCCAAGGTGAGAGCATGACTTAGAGACTGTTCTTCAGGGAGCTGTTTTCCAGCTCCAACAGGTCAAGAGGATACAGATAGAAACCAGAGATTAAAGAGCGCTATTAGGAAGAACTTACCAGAAGTCGGACTACCAGTCCCGGGAGAGCGGCCGCTCTGGCTAAGTGATTTAAGGCGGGCTCCTACTAATGACAGTTGGGTAGATGAGGTTCTCCTGAGTTTCCTTTGGCCCTCAGAATTCATGGGACTCAATTTCCAGCTAGAAAAGGGTTAAGGAATCCTGTGGTCCCAGCAGCCTGAGCCAAGCTCTCCAGCTAGGACCTACCTTTAAATTCCATGTTGGCAGCATCCTCCAGAAGTTCCTCCTTCATGGTGTTAAGCGTCTCAACAATCATGTCCTTCATTTCCTCTTGCTTCCGGTTGGCAATATTCATCAACGACTCGTACAACTCATTTTCCTTTTTCCGAGTGTATTCTAGACGTTTGGGAGTGATCTGCAGGTCCCGCTGCATGTCAAAGGCCTGGTTGATAAAGATGTCGAGGCAGTGGCAGTGCACCCGGTTCAGGGCCTTGGCTGTGTCCACCAGGCGGGTCTGTAGCACCTGGTGAGAAAACGTGCTCAAGTGCCTCAGTTTCTCACTTTGCTCCACCAACATGCTCTGAGCTTTAGTGTCTTGGCCGGGGGTCCCACAGTTCCAGTGACTGCTGCTCAGATAGCCCAGGTCTACCAGCTGATGATGGAGGGCTGACCTTTCATTCTCTAGTCTTCTGGTAGGCGAGGCAATGATTTCCGAGCCCAGCTTCGGCACTTTGAAAAAGAATACGGGAAAGGAGAAATACTTCCGGATTTCCTGAAGCTCTTGTTCGTCCCTCTCAGACAGTTCGTCCTTGTGGAGTGCATAGGTTATCACAGGCAAGAAATCGTTCACCAGGTCACCCAGAACATCTACTGCGGGCCGGAGGCCCTGGCACGGTGCAACCACGATGTCCACGTCCTGGAAGGGGAAGGGGGGGTCATATCAGCACCTCGGGGTCAGAACCAATCCTTGCCTCCCTGAAGTCCCACACTCAGACCAAAATCCATATCTATGATGGGACAATGGGGCTTCAGTACGCCCCAGTCACTTGCCCACCTCCTTCCTGAGTTCCCAACACTCCCTGGTATAGCCTAAGAGGCAGGCACTCATCTAGAGAGAGACAACAGCCTGTAGAAAGGATGGCAGTCTCTTTAGTCATTTCAGATGTTAGTTCTAGCTTCCTTTGTTGTTTGGAAATCCACTGGTGCCCTCCGATGAAGGAGTAAGACAAATATTAGAAGAAGAAAGAACTGATGTGGACATGATCAGATCGGGATTGAGGCTGCCTGGAACATTCCTCCCACTCTCCTCTTTGTTCATATTCCCAGCCCCACCTTTCTAAGGCAGCTAACTCCCAGGCTAACTACGAAGCAGCCTTCCAATGTCCCTGTACTCTTGTCATGTTCTTAGTGAGTCTTCCCTAGTACACAGTCCCAAGCACGCTCGACTTCTCCTTTCCTTAATGTTCAACACATTTATAATTTATTTACTTAAAACCCGTTTTTTGGGGCACCTGGATAGGTCAGTCCGTTGACCTGCTTTTGGCTCAGGTCATGATCCCAGGGTCCTACATCGATTCCCACATTGGGCTCCATGCTCAGGGGGGCGTCTGCCCCTCCCTCTGCCTCTCCCCTTTGCTTGTGTGCACGTGCTCTCTCTGACAAACAAATAAATCTTTAAAAACAAATAAAAAATAAATAAAACCTATGTTTTCCCAATAGCCTGTCAACCCTCTGAGGGCAGGGAACATGTCTACCTTGTTAACTACGGATAATTCCAGTGCCTAATACATAGCCCTCAATATTTTTGAATCAATCAAGCAGCAAACTAAAAGCCAGGTTTGCCAAACATTATTATATTACTGTCCTATTCTGAAACTTGCAGGTATCCCAAAGTCTTAGCCCCATAAGCCTTGGTAATACCTTTATTCTCATGGTCACTTGGTATGACAGAGACCAAGGTTTGCGTATCCAGTACTTGGTCTCTGCATTATTGGGAAGGCAATGGCCTTTACAGACAAGGCTGCCCGGTAAGTGTGTGGGCATTTCAGGAAAGTTCTTTAGAAGGGGTTTGATTCTGCCAGGAAGTATGCTTTTTGGCCTCATCCTTTTTGCCTGGAATAAGAAGGTCATCCTATAGTCCTAAGGCAAACCTAAGGGTAGAAGTCAGCACTGAAAATGATGAAGCAAAAAGAAGTAGGGGGCCTGGGTCCCTGAGGATGGCAGCTCTGCCAGCCTCACTTCAGGCCTCTTTCATGTGAGGGGAAAAAAAATCAGCTCCTATCTAGTCTAAGCAAGCCCATTTTTCTGACTGTCAGTTACGTATGACTGAACCCACCAATCACAACTGATACACCAAAGATCCTAAAGTGAGTTTCAAGAATGATCTCTGGTTTATTTTATTTTATTTTAAAGATTTTATTTATTATTTGACAGAGAGAGACACAGAGAGGGAACACAAGCAGGGGGAGTGGGAGAGAGAGAAGCAGGCTTCCCACAGAGCAGGGGCCCAATGCGGGGCTCGATCCCATGACTCGGATCATGACCCGAGCCCAAGACAGACGCCCAGTGACAGAGCCACCCAGGCACCCCATGATCTTTGGTTTAGAAACAAACCACTACAGGTCCTGTTACAGCCAGTAGTTTTTGCTTTGTGTTCTACTTCTTTCCTGAGGATCTTGAGGCACTTAAAGAGGATATGTTTCCTTCCACTGCACACGCTGCTCTTCTAGATCTTTGAAATTGGGGCGCCTGGGTGGCTCAGTCCTGAAGCAACTGCCTTCAGCTCGGGTCATGATCCCAGGGTCCTGGGATCAAGTTCCACTTCGGGCTTCCTGCTCAGCGGGAAGCCTGCTTCTCCCTCTCCCACGCCCCTGCTTGTGTTCCCTCTCTCGCTCGCTAGGTCTCTGTCAAATAAAAAGAAAAAAGAAAAAGAAGACACCATCTACTCTGTCTGGCATTCCAGACCAAAGGTTGAACTGGAGACTCACGCTTGTACCACCACTGTAGGCACACCAAGTGCGATGGCTTCAGGGACTCACAGACTCAAAATCATTCCTCCACAGAATTCTAGCACATTCTACAGAGTTACAAAAGAATTCAACACAAACCTGTTCAAGTGTGTGTCCCTAGCATTTATCAGATGTTGCAAAGATACTTGATTTGAAATGTAAACAACACGCACTTGTTTGTGTTCTTCCGGACTCCAATTCTGTTTTCATTCCTTACCTTACTGAGTGGCAGGTATTTTTGATGAAAAAAAATTTTAAATAAAAACCTAGGTCCTTTTCCTTTTTGATCTCCTTTCCTAGATAATAAGAAAGGCCTGGGAAATGCCAGCCCATTGTTTCTTGTCCTGTGTTGTGTGTGTGTGTGTGTGTGTGTGTGTGCGTGTGAGAGAGAGAGAGAGATAGAGAGATCTCCCATCCCCAGAAAAGCTTTACAAAGATCTCATCCTCCCCAATAGAGACTTAGTAAGTCTAATTCTCAGGTAGATCAAATAACTGTTGTTTGGCTGGCCACTGTGAACTCTCCAAAGCTAAAAGTGCTTTTAGCATCTCACCATTGCCAACTTGAGCAAACACTACAAATCCAGCTACTTTCCATCCAAGCCTAGGCCAAGAAGAAACTGCTGTTTCATCTATGCCTCGAACTGCATGAAATGTTTTCTGGTAGGTAGACTAGTCTGACACTCATCCCACTGTTCAAAACAAACCCCCTTTCACTACCCTGAGTCACACTGCTGGAGCATGAATCACTTCATGAGGCATATTCAAAAAGTGGGCAAGAACTTTTACAGCTTAGAGTAGAACACACAATTGCCTAAATGCCAACATTATAACACACATAATAATTTGATAAAGGCTAGGAGAGAATCCCAAGAAATGAAAAGCTACAATAAGATAGAGAATGACAGGTGAAAATGTTTTTTATAATTTTTATTTTAGGGCGCCTGGGTGGCTCAGTCATGAAGCATCTGCCTTCAGCTCAGGTCATTATGCCAGGGTCCTGGGATCGAGCCCCGCATCAGGCTCCCTGCTCGGTGGGAAGCCTGCTTCTCCCTCTCTCACTCCCCCTGCTTGTGTTCCCTCTCTAGCTTCCTATCAAATAAATAAATAAAATCTTTTAAAAAATTTTTATTTTAAAGCTGCAAACCTCTCTTCAGTATATGTATGTATACATTTTGAAAGGTAAAGCCTGATCAAACTTATTATAATATCATGAGAAGCAAGCCTAAATGAGCAAAACCAAAGTAAGAGTTCCTTAGAAAATTGTCAGGAATAATTTTGCTTGCTTGCTTCTTTATGATGGATTTTCTTAAAATTCTAAGATAAATTCATAGGTTTTCCTCCAAGAACCATTCTGTGTGTGCAAGAAAACCAAAAGCTGGGCACCTGGGTGGCTCAGTGGGTTAAGCCTCTGCCTTCGGCTCAGGTCATGATCCCAGGGTCCTGGGATCGAGGACCACATCAGGTTCTCTGCTCAGCAGGGAGCCTGCTTCCCCCTCTCTCTCTGCCTGCCTCTCTGCCTACTTGTGATCTCTGTCAAATAAATAAATAAAATCTTAAAAAAAAAAAAAAAGAAAAGAAAAGAAACCCAAAAGCTGTGGGATCTACTTGCAGAACCAATACTCTTCCTAGGGGACTGCGGATTTTATTTGCTCATGGGCGCAATTTCATTTTTTAAAGGATTCAGGGCTTTCTAATGGAAGGTACTACCTGATACACTGACAAACAGAAAGAAGTTGTCCACTCCTAAATATATCTTGTACTAAACAAAAACGGGCAAAAGACAAGCGCGACGCTCTTCTCCTCCTTCCCCAGTGAGTCAGCGCGTGCAGTTGGTCTCACCTCGCTGGCGACCGCGAGTGCCGGACACAGGCAGGAGGAGCTGCTGCCTGACCTTCTGGCGGTGGCCCAAACGGGCTGCAAGGCGCTGTGTGATTCTGTGACACTTACCGTGAAGGCATGACTCATCCCTGACAGTTATAAACAAAAAGGGAAGCCACCACTGTCTCCTGGAGACAGGGAGTGAAAAAAGTCATCAGTAATACAGAGAGGAGGAGCCAGAGCCGTTGTGGGCCCTATTCTGGCCCCCGGAGAGGAAGTTTGCCCTCAGACGGTTTCGTGGAAGGCTGCCTGCCTTCCTAGTACCTCAAACGGGGCTTGGCATTCATGAACACCCAACAGATCCATGTGGAATAAATGGATGAGTAAGTGACGCCTTCACTACCTGCTCCAAACCATTTCAGTAATCATATATAACACTTCCCATCTTTCAACCCTAATCACACACATTTAGCTGTGATTGCTGTTTGCTTCTACTCCCGGAAGAAAGCAGTGAGTAAGCATTTTGCTCCTAACTCAATCAGGGAATTAGAATCTCAGGGAAGAATGAGAGTGCCCCCCAAATTCCCACTGGAAGTCACAGGGAATTCCTAAAGGGAGTTCTCCTGTAGAACGCATTCTGCACAAGTCTACAGAATCCACAGAAACTGATGTGCTAACCATCGATTTTTCTTGGCAAGATTAAGAGAATGAACAGAAAGGAGACTGTTACTCTGCAAACACTGACCTCTTAGGTTTAGTCTCTGATGTACAAGGACATTGTCTGAAATGCCAGGAAGAAATGGCCCAGTCCCTGAAGAAGCCTGACCACTTCCTAATGACACTGGCTCTCACGGCTCGTGGCACATCCTGAAACTCCATTGTGGCCGAGAATGAGTGCATTCACTGATGGTTCAAGCAGGAGACAGTCACGCTCTCACAAGGGTCACACAAAGGTCACAAAGGTCTTTGCTTTCTCCACAGTTCTGAAGCCTCAGGTTCCCATCATGCAGAAAAGCAGCACATAACTACGTAAGATAGTTCTGCCGGTGCTCAGCCGCTGACCCGGTCTCAACCTCAGTCCCTGTCCCCA